CTGGTCTGTCCTTTTAAATACTTTTTAGAACTGTGGAGCTTTCTTTGTATAGAAAGAAAATAATTTTTAGCCACCAGTTTCAAATTGGACTTCTTTTACTTCAAAATTTCAAGAGAAATTCTTTTGATAATGTTCATTTTCTGTGTTATATTCATTTTTAAACTGCGTTTACAATGCCAGGACACATGCTTCCATTGTGGGAATAAGATTTTTTTTTTTTTTTTGAGTAGGAGTCTCACTCTGTTGCCCAGACTGCAGTGCAGTGGCACGCTCATGGCCACCCCAGTGTCAACCTGATTGGCTCTGGTGATCCTTCCGCCTTAGCCTTCCAAGTAGCTGGAATTATAGGCACACACTACCATGTCTGGCTAATTTTTTGATTTATTGCAGAGACGAGGTCTTGCCAAGTTGCCCAGGCAGATCTCGACCCCCTGGACTCAGGCAATCCTCTCGCCTCGGCCTCCCAAAGTGCTGGAATTATAGGCTGGCGCCACTGCACCTGGCCATATATTTATTTTTCTAATACTTCTAACATAATACTCTCCAAGAGTTATAATTTCTTATTTTGTAGATATTAGATTACTAATTGTGGGTCTTGCCTCCCAGCTTTTGCCATCGTCATGTTACTCATGTAACTAATGTGCCTTGGGGAAAATGTGTGTGCAGTCATGGTTGTCAGAAATAATAACAAGTATACGTGGCAGGTATTCTTTTTTGAACATTCTCATGTTTTATTGTGAGGAGGTTGGAAGCAATCTTCTGTGGTAAAGACAGAATCTTGGAATAGTAAATAATAGTAAAGATATGTGAGGAGAGGAGCTTCATGTGAGTAAATGCAATAAAATGTTAAGGGACGATGATAGAAAGATGGCTAGCGTACAGTAAAGAAAGAAGTACTTATGTCTGCAGGTCGGACGGGGCAGTGGCGGCATGGCAGAGTGTGGTGGTCGTGATGGTAGGAGCACAGCAGGCTGCACCAAGAGCACAGAGGCATGCAGAGGCGGGAGTGCTCAGGAGATCTGCAGGCCATTCCAGGCTGCACCAAGAGCACAGAGGCATGCAGAGGCGGGAGTGCTCAGGAGATCTGCAGGCCATTCCCGTGGCCCGATGAGTAAGAGCCACAGCCGGTATACAGAGCCAGGGCCAGACCATGGGCAAAGAAGAGTCTTCTAATGGCTTCGGGGAAGTGGTTCCTGGGAGGGAGTGTCACTTGAGACGGAGAGGTGGGGAGAATTCTGTCGAAGATGCAGGGAGGTTGTTCACGGTGAAATGATGAGTCCACCTAAAAGTTAGGAGGAGAGTTAGGAGCTGAGGGAAGACTCGAGCAAGAGAAAGTGGTGGCGGTAATACACATACGGGACAGAGCATTGACCGGAAGTTCTGGTGTTTTGAGAGGTTCAGGTTGACAGTGATGTGTGGCCTGGCTGCAGGGGAGTCTGTGGGCCTGGGGAGTCTGAGGACCGCAGGGGTGCTGGTTACTGAAGAGGGAAGCAGACTGCAGCCTGGGTCCCAGGCCCGAACGCCTTGCCAGTTACGAGGCTCTACTCTCTGGCAGTTTATAACCTGGAGGGTGGCCGTGGGCTAACCTCCAGTGTCCTGTGGGAAGTGTCGAGTGCCGTTACAGACGGAGCCTGCGAAAGTGTGGGAGGTGGCGAGTTGGGTTCCAGCGGGGAGACCTGGGCAAGACTTCGTGAGAAGCTGGCTTTTATCTGGGTCTTTCAGAGCAGGTCGGACATTAGTAAACAGATTGGGGTAAAGGAGCACTCCGTTTTGGAATGGCACGAGGCAAGGGAGGACACGAGTTGCGCGAAATACAGAGCTTGTTTGCGGTATAGTTCATGAAAGCGAAACATGGAGAGCTTGACTTAAGATGAGCAAGGGAGAAATGGAAAAAAGCAGTGGGTGTCAGAGTGTGTTGCACCAGTAGCCATGGTGACCAGAAGCGCACAGAGCCAGCAACACGGAGGAGAAAACCAGCGGCAGAAAACAACTCGGCGTCCCAGGTGCTGACGGCCACCTTCCATCTCACTTCGCGACGACACCAGGACTGCCAGCCCTTCTGCTGGTCCCTGTGTATGTGTGTGTTTCTGCTGTAATCACAGCACTCTGTGATCTGTTCCCACCTCTGTACCTATCCAGCTCCTCAGTACTTGCCCGGAGTTTAAAGCTCTCTGTAGACTGGTCATATTGAAATTGACGTTAGTGCAGTGCGTATTCAAATGTAACATTATAGATTGTGATATCTATACATGTTCATGGATATCTGGAAAGAGAAGTTATTAATTGAAGCTGCTTTACACACTTTGCTTTCTAGAAAGACTGATTCTTTGCATCTGAGACAGCAGAGTCTCCGTTGCGGTACCTGGATCTGTTTTTTTTTTCTTTCTTAGACTTACTTTATACTCTGACTCTAAAAAGCTACTTGGTACTACACACTACAGTATTCTCTGTAAATATTATTTTTCTAGGTAATAACTATACATAATTTCAAATTATGTTGTATCGCCTGTAAGAGTTTTTTCTGTCCTCCCGGGTCAGAAAAAACTACCATATGAATATAAGGTAGCATTACACATTTGAACTTGCCCCAGATAGATTTAGGAGCTGTTTATTAATTGCTGCAACATCAGTTAGAATGGTGTTTGGCCATATAGAATAGCAAGCTCTATTAATGTGATTGTAAAAATCAAAGTTCATTTATTTTATTTATTTAAGACATTTCTATTTTTATTTTATTAATTTGATTTAATTAATATCTTGAGACGGGATCTCACTGTATTGTCCAGACTGAGTTCGACCTCCTGGACTCCAGTGATCCTCTTGTCTCAGCCTTCTGAACATCTGGGACTACCAGCATGGGCCACCGTACTCGGCTCTTAATTTTATGTAACAAGAATTGCAGAGGTAGATTGTTACTGGTTGCGCTCGTTTTGTTTGTTGTCTGGCTGCCTGTCCTTAGCAGGCCAGCATGTTTGCAAGGTGTGTTTCCACCCTTTGCGTTCCTGTTTCAGACAAGAGGAGTGGGAAGATAAGGCCTGCCCTGCGGTTTCTGCTCGCCTTCTTTGAGAAAACACAGGTTTCCGTCACCACTAGCAGACTTCACCCTCAGTCTCTTTGGCCAGAGTGATGTCACAGGGTTCTCCCAGCCACAAAGAAGACAAAGCAAGCCTCTCCTCTTGGGCTGGCACAGGCTGCCCTGCTCAGGGTCAGGGAGGACGGGGGCCCTGTTGGGAGTAGGAAATGCTGTGCCTGCAGGTAGGTTATTTTCCCGGTCCTTTTAGTGCAGGTGGCATCTAATTGATCAGAGGTTGGCTACAAAAGAAGAAGAAGAAGGAGAAGAAGACGACATTCTCAGCCTGTCACTTTTTCTTTCTTTGCATCATAAAACTTGATCATATAATTCTTATGACTACTTTTTTGTCTGTTATAGGTCCTGGATATAAACAAAGAACCACATAAACTTTGAAATAGTAAATAAAATAAAAGGATGTTTGCATTTGAAAAAATACTGTGATACATTTTTTCTGGCACATCATTTTTCATCTGTTTAAATGGAATAACTTCTTTTGGGACAGGTATTATTCACTTATCATAAGTAGTTAGTTGTTGTTCTAGACAGGTTTGTAATGAATGAGTTTATTTAAAAATTAAACATTGTTCTTAAATATTATCACAACCTCAAGATGAAGTATTCATCAAAAATCTAATGAAAAAAATTTGATTTTAACGTAAGGAAGACTTTTAATATTTTGGAAATGGAGCTTTAGAAAAACACATCTTATAAATCTGAGATTTAAGGCTCAAATCAAAGTGTCTGAGATTTTTCTGCCATTGACTTTCCTGCCTTGTTATTTTAACTTTCTTCTGCTGAGACAAGGAAGTGATAGTAATCATTTAGTTGGCAGTATATTGCTACTGTTACTTGTTTTTTGTTTTTAACTCAAGCATAATACATGTTAACGGTACACACGGACCTGAAGTAGATTTTGTGGAAAATACGAAGGGCGTAAAGACATAATTCTTGTTCTTTGGTTTGTGAGACAAAGTGTACATGCTTGAAATCAAGACAGTATGTGATGCCAGAAGTTCTAAAGGAATTTAAGAAGATGAAGGTAACTGTGATGTGTGATAACTTAGTGTCATGGAAGAAGTGGAGATTTAAGTCTTGCTTGTTGAGGTCCAAGGTGCAAAGGCAGCCTGTCTTTCCACCTCCATCAGCCCTTCTGCACACCCAGCCCTGGTGAGCTGCTTGTGTTGTAGTTGCTCAGATGTTCCGGTGCTCTGATACTTTTGTGCCTTTGCACAGTTTTTTGTGTGCTTTTGGAGTTTCTTTAGCTGTCTGTGGGCCTGACAGTTTCCTGTCCTTCAGGATCCCGTCCAGGTGTCCTCTCCTCTGTGACATCTCCCTGGGCTTCCTGGTCAGAGTTGGCTGCTTCCTTTTCTTTTCTCCCACAGCTGTATGTATGTCTGTGTCATGGTATGCGTGCGCGCGTGCACGTGTGTGTGTGCGCACTCAGCGTCATCACCACATCGTGCCTTTTATGCATGTGCCCATCTCTGGCAGAAACTTGTGAGCATCACGAACACGAGGACTGTGCCATTTTATCTCCAGAGCACAGTGCCTGTGGAGTGGTTTTGCGTTTTGGATGAATACATGGATGGCTGGATGAAAAGCAGGCATTAGCCCAGGCTGTTTTCATGAGTGCTAGGAAAGTCTGTCTGGCAGAAACTTGGGGGATAAAAACACCTGGTCCTGCAGGGATAGCGTTTGTAATGTGTCAGTACTTACAGCTAAGACTGAACTGGCAAAGTAGGACCAGTTGCAGTGCAAGTTTCTAAAAAGTATATATTAGAAAATACAGTTTATTTAGAAAGTGAATATTAGGGGGAGGAGGGAGGGGGCAGTGGGAGTTTTAATGAACAGCTGAGCTACATCGAATGTCTGAAATCGGCCTGCAAACCTCCACCTTTCAAACCTCCTGCCCTTTTGTGTCTCGTAGTGCCTCCACTTCCCACTCAGAGAACTCCACGCACACCAAGTCCGCCTCTGTTGTGTCATCAGATTCCATTTCCACTTCTGCAGACAACTTTTCTCCTGACTTGAGGGTATGTACACTGTTTTAAAGTTCTGATGAGGCACTTTCCGCTAGGTATTTGTGGCCTGTACTCTCAAGATCACCTTGGATTAAGCCAGAGATATTGATGGAGTAGTCTCCTAGAGCCTAGTCTGTAAAATAGCCCAGAAGAGGCCAGCAAGTTTGGAATGCTTACTTATTTGTAAAAGGAAAATGTTTGATTCATCTTTATGGTTGATTCCTTTTAAGTTCATTTTCAAAAGATAATGAATGAGTTTCATGGGGTGTAAAAGAATTTCATGATTACTCCCATAATAATGGCCAATAATGGCTATTTGTTGAGTACTTACTGTGTGTCGGGCATTGTTCTAAGTGTTATATGTGAATGATCTCTTGTAAAACTCCCACCAACGCTGCCACCATTTCACGGATGATCGTAACTCGTGGAGATTAAGCGACAGGGCCAAGTTCTCATGGCTAACACATCCTGTCGCCAGTGTTCCAGCCCATGCAGTCCACTGATATCAGGTGCTGGCCACTCTAACACTGTGTGATTGTTCCTGCACATCTCATCACAGTTTGAAAGCGCTTCCCTCTATTACCGAAGGTCTTGTTTCTGTGACATGAACCACAGCAGCGAGACCTTGTTGCACTTTGTACATGTCGGACTCCATGGGCTTTTCTCCAACCGCTTTCCTGTGACTGATGGTGAAAATGGGTTTCAGGTATGGTCCTGACCCTTTAATCTTTCTTTGTAATCATTTATTTGTTAAACAATGAACATTTATTTCTCATGGTTCTGGAAGCCAGGAAGTCCAGAATCAATGTGCGGGTAGGTCAGTGTCTGGTGAACCAGGTCTTCTTGTGTTCTCATGGTGGAGAGCACCTCAGAATCTTTTTGTTCCAGGAAGGGACTGCTTTCTCAGGGGGTGTACTTATGCAGTTGTGACCATTAACGAAGCTGTTTGCTGCTGAGCATATATTAAGAGTATGTGTGTCTTCTTTGTCCATCTTATTTTCAAAACAAAATTCAACAAGCGTGTGAAGACAGGATAGACGTGTCTATAAAGGCGTCTGCATGCTTGTCACCTTTTGTGAAACTATAAAATGCCAGTATGGGAATAGCATGATTATAAACACCACTAAGAATTAGAAAGTCTCACCTTTGTAATCTGGATAGAAGTTTGCTAGTTATGAGGGCGTAATGGTCTCTTAGCTATTATTCTGACGCATAGCAGCCATTCAGGGCAGGGCACTGTGAACAGTAATGGTTGTAATTCATTGTTGCCTCTCTTACTGGTTACTTTGTAACATGTATTTTATACATGCGTCCAACTTTTGCTTGTTCATTACATTAAGACAGATCTACTGAAGGCCGGGCTCTGTGGCCTAGCCTATAGTCCCAGAACTGTGGGAGTCTGAGGCGAGTGGATCGCCTGAGCCCACGGGTTCGAGACCAACCCAGGCAATTTGGTGAGCTCTCGTTTCTACAATAAATCAAATTAGTCAGGAGTGGTAGCACGCGCCTGTAGTTCCTGCTGCGTGCCAGGCTGAGGCAGAAGAATCGCTGGAGCCCAGCAGGTTGACACTGGGGTGGTAGTGAGCATGCCACTGCGCTCCAGCCTGGGCAACGGAGTGAGACTCCAACTCAGTAAATAAATAAATACATAAATGTGAAGCGGTGCGGGTTTTCTTCTGCAGGTACTGTAAAGTGCCACTTTCCTGAAAGGATGGTGTCTTAGAGGAACAGCCACATGTGAGAGCCTTTTCTGTGAGGGATTTCGTATTCAATCGAGACTCCTTGCTTCTGCCTCAGGAAAGCAGAGTGGAGGGCTGCCTGGGTGCGGCGCTAGTGGCGATCTCTTGAGCTTTCGCTTATTCAAGTGGAACTTGTTTGTATTACTTTTTTGCCTTGTCAGCCTTGTTTGCGATGGAGAAAAGTCTTATGTGGATAGAATCCAGTGGATGCGTTTCTGAAAAACGCAACACAAATCCAGGCTTTGTAAATTAAATTGGGCTTTTCTCCGTGAAGTGATTGTAGAATGCTTTCTCTTTGCTTCATTTGTTCTTCACTTGGCAGAAAAACTCACTTGAAAAACTTAAAAAGACAGAGTTCTCCTATATGGACTTTTCAGTAATGCAATTAAAAATAATTTGTTTGCCATTTAAAAAATTAGGCCTTTAAAAAACAAAACTAAAACGTATTTCTGAGTTTGCCACTTAGTGGGATTAAGAGTCTAGAGAACGTGTGTCTGGTTGTTGATTCGTCACAAAGAATATATCCCACAAAATGTAGGACTTTGAAATTCAGTCACATGGCTCTAGTTACTTATGAGTTGCAATTTGTGTGGCACTGGACTTTGATTACAGTGTGTGCCTCAGATGGTCATCATCGGAAGGTGAATTAAGTCAGGCTGTGCAGTATGTCCTTTCCTTTGTGAAGCCTGCGATATGGCAGTTACATACCAGTGTTCACAATTCAGAAGTAAATGTTAAAGTGGAATTATCTTGTCTTTTGTGTCTTTATTTTAGATGTTTTATGTACATATAGATGGTAAAGGGCTTAATAGCTCATGTTTTGTTCTTAACAATCCACCCTGTCTTGAAGTACTTAGTAGGCTTTAAATCAGGCAGATGCACTTATTTGTTCAAAATTTGTGTTACACATATTTTCTTTATGAACCAAAGGCCAGAGATAATTGGATTATTTATTAGCTGGAGAGTGTGTCCATGAATGTGTTGACATGTCCCGAAAATATGAGGGTGTGTAACGTCTCATAGAACATTTGTCGCTAGACAGTGAGCAGTGACTTGCACATGACCATTTTAACAGCCAAAGAAGAAATGATTGAAGTTAGCACTTATTCATGATGAACGCCACTGCCACCTCCCTTATCAACATCAATTCTTACAGCCTAGGAATTGCTAGGTGGGTGGCTTATGCCTGTAATCCCCACACCTTAGGAGGCCAAGGCTGGAGGACTGCTTGAACCCAGGAGTTTGAGACTAGTTGGGACAACATAGTGAGACCCTGTTCTCCACAAAGTCAAAAATTTAGCTGGTGTGAAGGTGTGTGCCTGTATCCCAGCTACTCAGGAGGCCGGGGTGGAAGGATCATCTGAGCCCAGAAAGTCGAGGCCGCGGTGGGCCATGATCGTGCCACTGGGCGACAGAGTGAAATCCCGGCTGCGAACACAAACAGAACTCACAAGGCCTCCTTCCTGTGTCCTCATGTGGCTGTCTTCTAGTGAAGATACCCGTCTGCCGAGTTGGAGGCCCACCCTCCTCACCACTGTGGCCTCACTCGGCTCAGTATGTCGGCAGCAGCCCCGTTTCCGAGGCAGGGCATGTTCCGGGCAAGGGGCGGGCAGGACTTCCACAGCTGCTTCGCTGAGGGCGCTGCCCCTAGCTGGGGCGGGGCTTTCCAGACTGTTCTTTGGGTGCGCCTGCTCTTTTGTTGTTGTTGAATCCTTGACAGCGATGTAATGTGTCCAGCTCTTGCGGATTGTGGTTTCAGCTGAAAACCAAATTGCCCCTGACTGTGTTATAAAAAGAAAGGGCTTCCCTGTGCTTGAGTTTGGATGTGCTTTCAAGTGTGTAACCAGTAAGATCTCTCCCAGATGCCAGGCTGTGGCTCCACCTGTTGGGAGTTTTGTTTGCATGGTTATTTGCCCACTCTGTGGTTAGGCAGTCAAGTTGTGTAAAGAAGAGAATACGATTCAATTGGTGCAGACAGTTTTCTTTAGAGAATTATCCAATGAAAAATAAGTTTGTTATTTCTTCTTCTGGGTTTAGTACATAAACTGTGGGGATAGTTGGTAACTTTTATAGACCCAACTTTCCCTTTCAAGCGATTATTATTTAGTGCTTAGCAGATTTCAGAAAAATTCTTTCCTGTTTTTCCACCATCTGATGATTCCATGTGAAAATTGACTCATACACATGCCAACTTCCTGTTCCAGGTTTCTGAATTTCCTTGGCCGTAACGTCCTAATTTTGTGTGGGGGGTGGGGCGGGGGATA